GGACAAGAAAAGGGAAATCCTAGCAAAACAGAAAATGTGTAGACAGAATTGCTCTCCCCTTAACAGACACCTTGGGGAAACCACAGCCCCAGCCCCACCCCTGCCAGCAGGCTGAGAGGAAGAGGAGACTCCCACCCTGGGACCGTGTGACAAGAGCCATCACCACCACCACCCAGTGTCACGTGCTGTGGTCTGTGTATGGTTTGTCCCCCAGAGCTGAACCAAGAAGGCCACCCAAGTTTGGACTTTCAGCCTCCAAATAAACCTCTTTTCTTTTCACAGAACCCAGCCTCAAGTATTTGGGTATAGCAGTGGAAAACTGACCAACAAATACCCAACCCTTCACTCCCCTCCTCTCTCTCTTCCCCTGGGATGATAACAGAGCAGAGCTCATGGTCAGCCACACACAGTGGTCATGAGGCCATCCCCCCAAATATCCCTGGAGACTTTGTGGGGAACAGCAAAGAGGCATTCCTGCCCCTTCTGCCAGAGTGGTACCAGCAGAGACCTAGGAGGGAGCCAGGACCCCGCCCCCATCCCAACCAGCAGGAGCAAGGAGGCTGCGACCTTTAACGGAGGCCAAGCAGAGAGCATGGGCCTCCACCCTACCTGGCAGGGGAAAAAGTGGAACCCCCTCCTCCCCACACTGAAGAAATGTCAGTGTAGGCCAGTGCAGGCAGATTCAGATGAGACCCAGTCTCCACACAAAACCCAAAATGCCCAAGGTTCACGGAACAGTCACTGATCATGCAAAAAGTTTTTAAGAAGTCTAGTTCGGAGGTAGAAAAGAAAATCATCAGGTGACAATGTTGAGATAACACAGATTTTAGAATGATCTGAGCAGATTTGAAGCATTAAAAATTCTTCAGCCAAGCCATTGTGAACACGCGAAAACCCACAGAACATTCCCGCAAAGATTCAAGAGACCCAGGGAACAGGGTAAAGCCAAGAAACCCGACGGCAAGAAACATCCTCACTAAACTGCCGACCCAGGAAAGCTCTTGGCGCAGGAAGAAGCCACCCCGTCTCTGGAAGGGAAGGCTGTAGGTCTGTCCTAAGGAATCCCAGAGGCCAGGGGAGGGACCGTCTGCTGGCGGAAAAGGACAGTCAGTTACGGAGCCTGTGTCCCGAGAAAGGACGCTTCGGGAATGAAGAAGAGACCCAGACAGTGGGAGTGAAGAGAACGTCAGTGTTTCCTTCCACCAGAACCTACTGGAAGGTTCTGCCACCACCCAAGAGCACCACAGGCAGGGGACGGGGGCCTCTGGGGACATTCGGATTCCAAACGGTAGCACACGGGCTTCGTGCAGACCACAAGGACGGCTTTCCCTCTGACGTGGGGGTGGAAGACACTTGGCTTTGGAGAGGAGGTGCTGAAGCCTCCTTCCAGCCTCAGCACCCAAATCCACAGCCCGTCCGTCTGTGGACGGTCAGCCACCACTGGCCTGAGCAGGTCCCAGGTGAGAACAAGGAGGCGCCCTTCACCTTCAAAGAAGCAGACTTGAGACAGAAGGTCACTGGCTTCCACCCTCGGGGGAAATAGGGGCAGATGCCTGAGTCCAGCACAGGGAACTCTCATCCCCAAGTGTCTGTCGAGTGCCTCCAAGACACCCGTCACTTCTCACAGCAGGGCTTAGTTAAGATGCCATCTCTGGGGGGGATGACACTCCTGGGAGTGCCACTTTTCATAGGCACTGAATGTTTGTGTCCCTCCAGAAACATCCTGCGTTGAAATCCCGACCCTGGACAGGATCC